ATCCTGAATTATCCACCGCAACAAATGTAATTTTTTTAAATTTAATTTTATTATTAAAATGTTTTTTTTTCAGATGATGAAAATCAATTGTGTGATTAGAGTACTTCAATCCCCACCAAAAATTCAAGAAATTTCAAGGACAAGTGTAATTTTTGGCTGTTTTCGCAAACTTTCCAGGGGCTTGAAATCATTTTTTAAAATTCTCAAACTTTCAAGGATTTCAACGACATGTAAAAAAGTGCTTTAAAAGGGATAAGTTATTGAAGACCCTCCCCTACCCTTGGGTCATCATAGTCTGCTTGATCTAGGAATGAATTCAACAGGTGCCTCCTCATTAAAGAAGATGACAAAAAAGTAGCTTCATCCTGTGTTCACTAGGCAAAGTGATGATGCTCTAGAGGTTTATGAAGTAAAGAGGCTTAAAGTCTTTTTTTTTACTGAAATGAGAAGAGTGCAAACATGTGCACTTACTCTTTTTCTTTGTGGTGATATCTCCAGTCTCATTAGAGCACACTTGTTGAGAGTGTTCAGTCTCCTGCAAACACACAAAATTAGTTAGATTAACAAAAAGGAGTCGAAACATTTTAGCTCATTGACCTTTTCTTAGTATCCCACAAGGAGGATGTACACAAGAAGAAAGAAAGAAACAAGATTAGAAAATATAACAGAGCCGAGGAAGAGAAAGACAAAGAGGAAGCTGGTTAATGAGCCGCTGAAGGATAATCCCTTACACGAACGGGAAGAGACATGAAAAAGAGCACGCGAGGGGGACGAAATCTGCTGGGGAGGGGACGGAAAGCTTATCCCTCCTGCCACCTGGAGACGGGGAGCAAAGAGGGGTGGTGGGGGTCCTCCTTCTTGTGAGCCCTCAGAGCATATCATGTAACAATAGAGAGATGAATTGATGGGAGCTGAAGGATAGYTGGGGTTGTGAGGAAAGGGTGAAAGCCTGCCAAGAGATGAGGTACTGAGATGATGGCTTCCAGATGCACACACTGACACCTGCTGACTTTTATTACTGAGATGTGGAAATGGATTAAGGGACTGACTCTATTAAAGAACCAKTAGACCCCCTTCCTCATGAGTTAATTAATGTGACTGACAAACTCGGTTATGTTCTGAGTTTCTTAATGCCATTTCCCTACACACAAACTCCTRCAGAAGATGTATACAATGTAAATGAAATGAAAATTTAGTATTTACCAAATAGTGTAAGAATAATAATACTATATAAGGAGCTTTGCAGTAAAAGGAAGGTGTGAGATATAGTGGTACTAAAAAGCTGGGGTCCAGTTTATGCTACCAGGGTGCTTATCACAAAAATATTTTTATCTCAAGTTTTGCTCCTTTTGAAGTTAAGTTTTTGTAATTTCATGTGTAGGCTGACAACCACACATACCTTCAAAAGAAAGGTTAGATAGGATTTGTTATCTCACCTGCAGAGAGCCTCAATAGCATCTCGATCCAGGAAGTCGTGGTCCCTGGTGACTGAAGAAATGTCAATGGGGAACTGGGCGTCTAAAAACACAGAGGGAGAGTTGAGTTGTGGTGTTTCTTTGATTAGATCTATGCRTCGAGATGAAGCAGCGTTGCCACACCTAGCCCCAAACACACCCACCTGCTCAAACACCTAGCTTCTCCCTCACCACTACAACCTTAATGAAAAGCTTAAAAAGAGGAAGCGGCGTCTTAGCCGACCAAACAAACACAGCTGCAGCTTTCAAATCGCACAGGCAGGGGGGATCTGGAGCACAGGGGGACTGGGAAATGACAATAGGTCCTCCACTGCTACTCAGAGGTCCTACTTCCTTTTCTGCTTCTTGCTCTCTCTCTCTAGTCAGTACAAGGGTGAGTTCTTCAGCCAGTCACTGCGCTGGAAAAGGTTAGTGTGCCTTAAAGCAGACATATTTTAGATGGTTTTCTGTGGCTGGAATGCTTTAGACAGATGGATGGACACTGAAGATGCTGAGGATGGAATGCGTTGAACCCATCCCAGAAAGGAATCTTGCATCTACACCCTCAGGGGCGATGATGAAAAGAAAATGCAAGCCATAGAAAGCTAGCATCTTTTGCTTACTGTTATTGATTAAAGCAGGCCTATCAGTCTGCTTCTCTTTAGTTGGTCAATAGACATTCTCCAATGGATAGATCTGGCAAAAAATGTGTCTTGCATGAACAAGATAATCTCCTCTTGGGTGCAGATGACAGCTTGGTACAAGTTGACTCTTCTAAGATCTGTAAAAGTGACTGGCTGCATTTTTAGCTGTTTTGGTTTTGTTCTTTTACATAACACCTGTGCAGAAACACAGTGGCCGTTGAGTTTAAATGGGAAACCTCTTTACAGAGAGGTGGAAACAAGCAACGACCTGCTGACAGGGATACCTTGGTCCTTCTGTCATCATCTTGTAATTACGTAAAGGCAATTGGTATGCTGATGGAATGCTATAGTATGGTCAGAGCAGCTACTTGCATTGTTAAGGCTGCTCAACAAAGTTTGGTAAATGCTTATTAAAAGCTCAAAGGTCAAGCTGAGCATTTGTTGTCAAGTATTTGCAATTGTTTAAAGTAACAATGGTTGTAATCAATAGCCAAGCTCCGGTTCTTACGAGTAATTACAAATGACAATATAGTCAAACTTTGGTTAATATTTGAAACATTGAAAAGACTGTGCTGATGAATGAATTACAGTCGATTCAACTGAGCTTTAGAAGAATGACATGCCAAAGGTAAAACCCTCCCTTCTCACACACAAATAATATTATACTGCGAAGAGTGGGTGTGAATGCACAGGCACTTAATGTGAACGTTGGTTTTTTATGAGTCTGACACATACTTCCTGAAYGATGTAATAAAAAAATAAATGCCGGAATTTTGTTAAATTTTCATTAGCAAAATGTGGCTTTATAAGAATGTGTTTAAAAACAACTAGTGAACAGGTGCATTATTAGCACACTTAAAAGGTCTACTTTCTCCMTTTAAAGATACAATATAGTGTTGAATTGAAGTTTTATGAAGATGTTAGGAACAAGCAATTCATGCTTGTTCTWAAAAGCTTGTTGAATGATCTCAGTTTGGAGAAACAGAGTTTTTACTGACAGACTGATGAGCTAACAACTAGTCTAAGCAATCCAGACCAAACTGGATTGATGTCACCTTTAAACGCCTCCAGATTTCTTAACAGTCCATGCAAACACTGCCTTATACATTTCTACATTGCACAAAATTATATGCTTTTTCACAACAGCAAATAGCAGCGGCTAGTTGTAGCAKTTCCTGTGTATTTCAGAACACTTCCTGCACAAAGATATTTTTTTAATTTACTGTTATTTATCATAATAGTATCATWATATCTCTTCTGGAATAACTGAATTTTATTAAATTTTAAGCACCTTAATGGTTTACAAAATAAATTTTACTTGAAGAACATGTGAAGACTGGAAATGTTTTCAGATGACAACTGTCCACTCTGGTCACTCAGACCAGTCATTAGCTGGAAATTTTAGTCAGACTTGACCTTTTTTCTACAAACTGAGGATGTTTGATGAGCTATCTACAACAGTTAAAATATTCATTTTCACAAAACTTGCAAAAATCAAAACGTTCTCTTTCTTTCGGTATCTATTTAGCATGTTGTGAATGTGGTAAAGTGTTTCATAGTGTTACCTTCATAAAGCTGGGCGTACTGTGGGAACCCGGCAGCTCGGAGCCAAGTACAGGCTTCTTTGGCTTCAATCTCTACAGAAAATGAAGACAAGACCAGAACAAAAACACATCAGGATGTGGAAAACTCTTAAAACTTACCAAAATCCACATAAACAGAACCACATCAAACGGAGTGCCATGTGATTTATGAAAGCACTCACTTAGAGGAAGGAAATTTTCATTATCATTTTGAAACCTCAATGTGTCAAGAAGCCTGTAACATGCAAATCTGCTGATCTTATTCTCAATCTCACACTCGGTCTCACTTCTTTCGTGTGCTTCTGCAGCTGGAGTTCAAAACAAGTCTGTCAACACTTTCTCATGCCAAGTGTGAGACACATTTTTAGCTCCTTAGCCAAGTGAGTTGCTTGTTTTCATTGTTCACAAATAGATCTCCAATGCCTGGATGCTTTCAATATGCTTTGTTTGTGTTGACCATTCGCCAAAGTTAACCTATGAATGGAGAAGTTCAGGAATGTCTGACAGTTTTATATAAGACAGATTGCTTTACGTTTTTCACTCGTTCTCAGCACCCTCCCTGCAGTTGAGCACATTCACAACACCCGCCAAATAAACTCTTTCATAACTCCCTTTAAACACAGAGTGTGACATTTAGGCTTGTTATGCTAAGTGCTGTGACTGAATGTGTTGGAGGAGCCACGAGAATGTCTCCCAATTATGTGTGAAAGCATTTTAGATGACATATGCCAAGTGGCCACAAAACACTGGCTCCATGTCACAGCCGGCAGTTCAAAGAGGAGACAGAAACACGTTTCAAGGCTTTCTAGAGACGATGTTCCATTCTCTTTGTTGGAATGAAGGAACAGCTAGTACAAAATGTGGTATAAACTTGAGAAGAACTTGCAAACAAAACCTGAAGAACTAAAGCAGGAGACACTGAAGATTAAAAAAAGTCAGACTATCATACCTGAATCCAACAAACTAATGTCTGTTAAAAGACAAGCCTGTTTAAATCTTAGATTTGTAAATACTTTATTTCAGGATCTTTGCATCTTCTCTCTTTGCAATAAACTCTAACAACGAGATGTGACATGAGCATAACAGGGTCTCTTCTTTGTCACTCCAGGGGTGTACAGGTCCTCCAACAACCTCTGGAATCAAACCAACATGAACATGATTATTTGAGAATCAAGTTTTCCCATCTGARCATGAAATAGCATGTCTCAGGGGGGAAGAAAAGTATTGAAGTGTGTGTTTAGTACTGTATTTCTGGAGTGCAGTGAACCCAAAGAAACATAGAAACCAGGGTGTAATTATACCAACATCCTTGAAAGCAAATGTTGCGTAGAGCTGGAGATTCTTGTGTTTTACTTGTGTGTGCGCATAAGCGAGCCGGTGTTTGCAAGAAACAACCTCATGTTTAAGGACAAATAACTGAAAAGACAGCAGAGGCCATTGAAACGCAAATCAAGCAGACAAATGTCTTTCTAATCCCAGAAGCTAAGAACAAGTCTGAGATCCAATAAGTTCCTTCGGTGTGTAGCAAACCTAACGTCCCATTATACTCAAATGTGTGTCAAATCCACTCCACAGAGAATAACGAGAAGTTAAAGTGTTACCGAGTATTCACTGCACAGATTTCAGTGCATCATAGTAAGTGGCTTCTTCACATAAAGCTTGGTTTGCTATGTTTCTAAAACTTTTTTTAAACCAATACTCCCCCAATGTCCACCCAAACCCTCGAACCTTCTCCAGGGAACTACCTCACTTCCTTTTTCTGCTTCCCTCACAGGAAGAGGACCAGGAGGCGCTGCCACAGCCACTGACCGACCACTTGACTGGAAAGGCCCAGCCTTCATTTGTTCCTGGTCAGATAATAGGCAGGGAGGCAGCCAAGACAAACACAAGCTCCGGTGATTGTGTGTACCAAGCAAACGTCCTCATGGCTAAAGACAGATACAAAGCCACACTATGTTATACTCAGAACTTTAAATAAGACGGCAACATATGTCAATTACTGAGCTTAACCACAAGTAGAAACAAAAAAAAAAAAGTTCTATTTATTTTAGTAACTGTGTCATCAGATGAGAAGAGAGATCAGGCCAGACCAACATTTCATACCCAAAATAATGTTAATAGATCAGACTTATTACTAGGAGACAGCAGGACACGTTCCCAACATTCCTTTTATTCCCAGCAGACTTCAGGGTTATGAACTATTGGGAGTACCAAACAATCTCTAGACTCAAAAAAGAAAACCACATGCTAAACTTTTCTTCCAATTCCATTTCAGGCAGCTGATTGTTTAGCTTGTGAATGCAGAGAGAAACAACAATCTGAGCAGATTAAAAGCTTCAGACCACACCAAAACGTCTGGTTCTGTTGGCATAGGGGCCAAACAGGAAGCTTGAAGCCTCTCTGTCAGGCAGGACACACAGAGGGTATGAGGCTGGCGCAAAACTAGCCTTTCAAAGAATCAGATAATGTTACACATTTTGATGCTTTAAGACAAGTGTACAACTTTGTCAACAGGACCATGGAAAAAAAAAACACTCACTAAGGTTAGCCTCAAGTTACTTCTGGCTGATTTGAAAGAGCAAAAACAGCACAGTGTGACACACTGCCTCTCAGCGGGAAAGGAAGTGATTATCAGCACATAATATGTCTAATGAAAGCCAAACTAATGCTAATAGAGATTTCATTCAAACTACGGTCGGCTTTATTCCAAGACTTTAGTCAGAAGTCATGCAGAGAGCTGCTAGTTGGTGTAAAACTTCATACCTAACATCTAAAATGATCCATAATAGATATTATTTGCTTTCTTTTTTCACTTCCTCTCACTCTTGTCTCCAATGTTGTCTCTGCTTATTTGGACTCTGCTYGCCACTTCTTTTCTCTCCCTTCCGGAGGCAGGAAATTCTCACAATTGCTGGCCACAGCTTCCCTCCATCGCAGGAGGCAGTGGGGCTTGGCTTGTCTGCCTCTGAAKGCTCAGCTCCAGTGGGAGTTTGTCAGCGGCAAGCAAACAAAGGATGCTGCTCCCCACCTCAAAGGCTCCGCTACAGCAAACTGGAGGTCAAGAGCCTGAATGTGGTTATCTCTGATGCCGGGTCTTTGAAGCTGTAGATTGAGAAGTCTGCTTGGGCAGCAGCCGTTGCGAATCGAGGTAGCTTATCTGAAATTACCCAATCGTTGCTGGGTTTTTGAAGGGGTCACTGTAAAACAACCCAAAAGGTTCTTATCAACTCCAGGTTGTTTTGAAGGAGCTGAAAAGTGGGTCTAGACAGGTGGTGTGATAAATCAGACTAGGCTTAGTAAGTAAGCAGCAACCTACATAAAAACATTGCATCTATTTAACTCAGAAGTAGGAACTTGGATCTGGAAATGGCATCATACACACAACTTAACTTGGTTCCAGTTTCAAGATGAAATATCAGTAGGAAATGTAAACTGTTGTTCTCAGACCAGGCTAACTTGTGAGCGCTACAGCAGAAATGGCCTTTTATACATTCAATCACTGCAGACACATGATCACTAATGGAGACTGCACTGCGACAGGTGCATTATTTAATGATAGGCTACAAAATTTATTGAGATATTACTGTAGGTAACACTTTACAATAAGGCAAGGTTCTGGGTCACTTGTTTCCTGTACTCTGCCTCACTCAAACCTTTAACCAAAATATTTAGTTAGATGAACCATTTCTTTTCCTTTCCATAAAAGTCTGGTTACAAAGTGCCCAAAATTGCAAAAGTACAAAGAGATGAAGGCGGGACATAAACAACACCCTTGAGGCAGCCATAACTTTTAGGAGTTTGGAACTGATGAGAAATCTCTGACTCTCCAAGTTGGTATTCCAACTTTGTGGGGTTGTTCCAGTTCATTTTTCAAATTCTGATTTCAAAGTACAAACTGAATGAAACAAAGACCAGAATGCTGGCAGTTTTTGTTTGTGCTGAGCTTTTCACATTAATACACAATTCACACTATTTAATGAAAAGCCTCACTTTGACTCTCAACCCAAGAGAACAACAGGGTATAATGTCTTTTTTAGTGTGACCAGTAATGAATTGGAAAAGGTCGCTGATACCAGATTAGTCTTTCTTGATGGGTATCATGTTTTGTGATTTCAACGCTGAGACAGTTGGTGTTCACAGACAAGGCCTGGCTTTTAGCTAAATGATATGGTGCCAGGAATATCACCATCTGGCTAGCCTCAAGCTATGCTCCATTGATACACCACTGATACACACATAAGGGGGAAAAAACAACATGGTTCTTTCCAGTTTTCAACCACCAGCTGGTGTAGGCATGCAAGCACAGATCCACCAGCGTATTYGCATGCACACACACACAGCTGGACCAGATGGATCATTGCCTCGCTAACCCCAAAAGCCCCCGTGYCCCCTGATGACAGATTTATGCTCATGCGGAGCACCCTATCCTTGGATCAGGTGACCAGACATATTCAAAACCTCTGAGAAGCTTTCTGCARCCAGATGACAGCCTACCTGCCACAAACCCTGCCTGCCTCCCCCTCATCATAACACATTCAAAGATGGCCCTGTAACCTTCAGGAAAATAACAGGCAAAAAGCTTATATGGATCATCTCGCAAAGGACATGGATGTAAATCTCTCAGATAAGGCTGAAGCTCACTTCCTGTTTCACAAACTGCAGATGAAGCGTGTTTCCTTCATCTCAGAAACTTCCACAACCAAACCAAAAGCCTCTGAAGACATTGTTGTTCAGTGACATTGGGTCATCAGACAGATGTGTGTCTCTGGGCCTAGTTTTAATGGTTTTATGGTGGAACTGAACCTCACCACACTCATATCTGTCAGGCCTGAGGTCAATGATAAGGAGCTGTACTGGAATAGACAAAAGCAGAAAGATGAAAAAAAGAAATAAAAAAAGATATAAGTGTATATTTTAAAACGCCTGCCTGGGAATCAGAGAGAGAGAAGGGGAAACTAAAAATAAGATTGCTGCAGCCACATCCCCTCAAACGTTTAAATAGAATAAAAAGGGAGTTAAACTGAGAAGTGCCACAGAATGCTCAGGCCAAAACA